AAAATGTTCAACTATTTTTAAAGATATATTATCGTACATTAAACCGACAACATGTTCACAGGTTAACACGTCTGTGTCGCTAATCAGTCTATTTTATACAAGTTGCATGCGGTAAGCACAAAGCGTAGGTATACCTATAAGTATCTTTCAATATAAATAATAACAACAAAATAGGTACAAAGTGTTTCACCAAACACGTCTGTACTGGTTTTTCTTCAATAATGCAGTCGCTCAAAATATGATTTTTGGGAAATTTTAAATATATCTGGGTACTTAAAGACAGTATTTTCAAGTTCTTGAGATTTTTATACAACACAAGAAGTATTCTATGGCGACATAATAAGCTTAAATTTTTTAAATGAGAACTCCCCCCCTCCCCTTTCAATTGTAAATATATTATGTAGAGGTTTTTCTAAAAATGATCAAAATTAAAATAAATATAATTTGTGAGCTATTTAACATTGTGTACTAAAGATAAAGTACTACGTTATGATAAAGGTTTGAGATATGTGAGGCATATAGTGATTTTTAAATCATAGTATTTAATATTGAACCAACATTTTAAATAGAAAAATGGTCCAAGTATAATAAATATTAGATCCAATATTAATATCTATTTTAATTTTTTTTAAACCATTTTTAAGGACTTTTATTCTTTTATAAACATTTTAATAAATTAAAAACTATTCTTTTGGCATTAAAAAAAAAAAACTATCTACTAGTTAAATTATAATTAAAAAGAAACAGAAATTTGTACCACCACAGAACATTCTTTAAGTAGTACAGAAATACTCAAGAATTTGAAAATATGGTCTTTATGCGTATTTAATAATAATTACATTATTATATTTCGTTCAATAACATATATTATAAAAAATTATTCATACATATAGCTAATTACTAAATGTAAACATGGGGGTGATCATGCTTGATGAATCACTTTGTATAAGAATAGTCTAATCCAATATCAAATAGTTAAGTCATCGGAATTAATCAAAATAAATAATAATTAAGATTTATTAATATGATGCACATTTTTACATCATACAGTTTTTACTAATTGTTGACTCAAATTTCGGCAGCACTTCCATTTTTTCACCGATTAACTTTTTCTCATCTGCAGTAGATGTTTGTTTCTTTCTGGTTAACTTTAAGTGTGCTATTTCGTTTTATATATTACGTTTCACATTGGATCTCTTTTTAAATTACGTAACTAAACTATATTCGACAGGTGGAATAAAATTCTGAGTTGATTTTTCGATTTAAATTTAACTATTCGAGACAACAAAACGTTGCTCATTGTAAAGTAGGTGAAAATTCTTCTCTCATTTTTAGAGGAAAGTCAAATAACTGTATCATCAGATCTCCATAATACCTTCTTAGGCATATCACCTTCTTATTTGAACATAATTCAAACAACTGTATGACGATAAATACCCAATTTTATCGTGAACCGATTCGGACACACTGCGACCAGTGTACGGTATTTTCCAACAATAAATTACAATAATATAGTGAAATCTCAGAACCACGTGACCACCATGGTGGTGGACGAAGGATAAGCTGGGGTCGCTAACCATTGTAATGTGTATGCATCCGTAACTGGCCTACCCTTTGCCTACCCCGAGATGTCATGGGTTCGACCGTTTAAAATTAGGACGTAGTCCGTTAAGTCGAAACCGTTTTTGCGCAAGTTTTGAAAGACCGTTACTTCGGGTAAGGTCGTTTTCGGTCGAGAACCGAGTACCGTTTGTAGGGCGATGATATTTTTCTTCTGACTTAGGACTGTCAGCGTTGAAATACTGACATGATTAAAAATGTTATATACCTATTCGTCACCACATAGTTAATAGGTATTAGAGAAGAAGTCATACTGGTGTAAGTTATTCATTTGTTAAGAAATTATTCAAAAATAAAACAATAAAAATGTTTATTTTATTATATTATACTATTTTATTACATGCAAAGCAGTTGTAGATATGTACATTGCAAATAATTTAGTCACACGAGTTTTTGCGGAAGGTCACCTTTGGTGTGTACAATTGTTTACTCAACCAAATGGTCTATTTAATTCACTCAAATGGAATGTACGAAGGTCAATAAACATTTGATCCATTTCAAGTGAAAAATTAATACTATGACAATTCATAATAATTGTCGATATAAGATAGTTGGAAGAAATATATATATATATTTTAAACGCAAACAAAAACACTTTTCTTGGTAATAGTTAAAAATATTTTTAGCCCTTGTGGTTTCATAGTGACGATTTAATAATAATTGTAATGTTGTGGTTATGTTTGCTGTAGAACTGCACGTGATTAAAATTGTTGTGCGTGGAATTAAAATAGTGGATAGAATGTCTAATGGCTATGGGTGGGTAACCGAGAAACTTAGACAGCTGAATGTCTAATAACACTTATTTGTGTTGCGTGCCAATGACAATCAGTTCGTCAATGTTGATGTCGGAATTGTATTGTGAAAAGCCTTATTATATATAAAGTTACCACTACTTTGTCAGTCAATACTTTTTATTTAACTGTTGTAAAATACATTTTCGTCCTTCGAATAATTATGACTTGTGTGGTTTCAAAATGTTATAAATATAATTATACACCATATACCCACTGACCAACTACGAATAATTCTTAAAATTTGCATTGATTGTTTGTCCTTTATTAACACTGTGCGGAGAGTTGTTATATAATCGCTAGGCATCTTAGCAATAATTGTCAGATTTACGATAAATATGATTTATGAAAATTAACAAAATACACGTGATAAAATTTAACGGAAAACTTTCCCCGAGTACGTATATTGTATATTATTATTATTATTATTTCCAATAAAGTGCAATCAAAATGTAGGTTATATTATACCAAAACAACAATAACTGTCAAATAATATCACTTTATTATAGAAATAATACGTGTCTAGTCTGGATTTGGATGAATTGGCCAGAGTGAAAATGATTGATGAGGTGCACCGCGCAAAGGTTGCCCTTGCACTCCAACCTAACCTATTAGTGTTCCCGACAAAACCAAGGATACCATAGAATACGCAAGATGATCTGATGACTATAGCACCCAGAAGGCGGACAGATACGACTCAATACTGGGCAACATAAAATATATAATAATAAGTTCGGAAAGCTCACTTTGCTGAATTCCCGGTTTCTGCGCATGTCTGATAACACCCTTTTCAATTACAATCTAATTTACAATTTATGTTCAGTAACTACTAAAAGTAAATAAAATATAAATACTATTTAACAACGGACGGCGTACATAACGAAGGTATTCGGTGTTCTAAACATATATGTTTAAAAACCCAATAAACGTTGCCATATTGTTGTGATGTATTAATGTGTTTATTAACTATATTTTATACCATTCATAATTAACTATTCGTTATAGTTTCGTTGTACGCTTTTAAATGTGCATAAATGAACGACAATCGTAGTTATATATGCTGCCTGCTGACACGATGAATAAATATTATGTATATTAAAATAAATCTTATCGATGCGATAACACGAGATTCGTGCTTTGAGCTTTCTTTGTTTAACAATATTCGACTCATGGCTGAATAATAGAGCGTTAAGTCATTGCATTGCGTTAAATAATGTGTAAACAATGTGAACAGTTTCATTCGTAGCGTTGTGCTTAAAATATTTAAATAAAAATAAAATGCGCAGTATTCTGTTTGTAGGTTATACCTACGTCGTAATATAGATAATTAATTATATGGATAAGTATTTAGTCTCCAGAGATCCATTTGAGTCGGAATTTGGCCAAAAACTATTTCCACTTTAGTTGTCCAAAGTTTTGTGAGATTATTTGAAGATTTGTTTACATTCGAAGGGTCTTTGAAGTTATTCCGTACTTTCACCTCATCTACCAGAGTTGATACGGAATGGTTCATACTTCATAGTAAATATTTAAATAGGTACCAATAGATATTCAAATTAAATTCATCGATGGAAACTTTATACTAGAACTTGTTAGTTAGGTATTACTTATTATAAATACCTTCAGGTTATTTAAGTTTCATAATTTTCATTTTTTTCATACTTAAATAATATTTATAATATGCAGATAATAATAACATCAACCTGAAACGTAATTTTTTTAAATGATGCACACGTTTCCTGTGAGTCTGAGTGATAAAAAATTAAAATATTAATATTAAAATGTATCTGTATTATTTTATTTATTGATTTATAAAAATACTTTCTATTTTAATTGACTATATCCCAAACTAACTACGTTGAATGTAAAATTAGTTATTGACTTTATTGTTCAAAGACAGTAATTTTAATAAAATATAATAATGTAAATATTATTTTTTTGTTAAATTATTATTCATATTATATTAGTTTCTCGGTACTAACTTTTAACATCAGATAACTTATCAAGATAATTTGAATTGTATCATATTTTTTCAATACTTTTAAACAATAATACAATTTAAACAAAATGTTTTCTAGAAGAACGTATATTTATATTGAACCGATTAATAAAATAATGCCAATTATCAAGAGGTACTCAACCCTCAAAGCTTTGTAGATAAAATAATTGAATTATATAGGTACCTATGTTAGAATAATATCAAATAAATTAGTTATCTATATTAATAAAAGAAAATGTTTGTGTGTATATGTAAATGTGTTCTAATTTGTAAGTCTATCGAATATTAGCACTCATGGTAATGCAATTTGGTTGACCAAGGATGTGCACCTCTTAGCCATTTTTTTTGTTCTTATTTTCATGGTAGTATTCTGATTAGTCATGCAATTAACGTAAAGTGTTTATATTAATAGTTGTATCACTTATCTATTTCACCGACGCGAAGCACAAGAAATGGTAGATTGGTACGTTGAGAGCAATACAAAATTAAACATAATAATGTGTAACCGCTATATAAGCAATATTTTTTATTTACATTTTTAATACTGTATTACACAACGCAATCAAAATAATACTTTTTTTTCCTGCAGTTTTATTACATATTTTAAAAAACTTATAGTTCGGTGTATGAATCACTCTCGAGTCCCGCTACGATTTTTATTATTATTATAGTTGCTGTTATTGAAGAAACAAATATCGTTGGACAGCGATACTTATAAGTACGTAATATATAGGTATCTAATTTCGTTTAGGTGAGTCAGACACGCGTGTGGTCAACACTTTTAAAGAAGGCGGTAGAGGTCACGACGAATTATTTGTATTGGCAAGTTCAGCGGAAAGCAATCAAATAATCGATTCGATTGCGTGCGGATTTCGTAATATATTATTATCATCATTATCATTATTATTTTATTCAGCTGCAGCAGGTGGCGATCTCCACCACGGGTGTTCATGCGACATGGGTGTTGGAGCGCACGTATGACGGCCTCCTGTCTCTCGACTGGACGGTGATCGGATATCCGCCGACCTTCCGTGTGAATGCATCGTTCATTTTTATCCGGATGTCCGACAATTTTATGTCCGTGTGCACGCTAAAGTTGCGTAAGATTTCGGAGATCATGAGCTTCATCGATATCATGGCGTACTTCATACCTATGGACAAGCACGACTGTAAATATGGTTAAGAATCTCGTTGATTAAAAATATAAATCAACAAGCATTAACATAATTGATTATACTTACAGAGTTAAGTTGAAAATTTGGAACCCCCAAGTTGGGGGTTTTGGGAGTTTTGGGGGGGGGCTAATCTCTCTCCTAAGTCCCCTCCAACCAACTCCTGTGTAGATATGAGAAACAAACAATAATGCATACCGCGGATAGTGAGCAAAAATCGTGTTTTTGAATGAGACATGTGATCAAAAAGTTTTGATCATCAAACAGGTGTGCAAGCGTGATTGTTACACCTTCAGTGAGAGGTTTTTTATACAGTTACAATATTGTACTGATATTACGAGTATATAATATTTTGTTTTACTTTTTAAATTTTGGACTTTTGTCAGTAACCCTTACAAGTCGTTGTAATAGTTTTGAACTAATGGTGACAATTTTTTTTAAATATTTTTTTCGATTTTTAATCTATTATATTATACAATCTATACTAAAGAAAAAAAAGTACAAAAGCATAATGTATGTTTAAATTGAGTACAATGTTAAATTATGCGATAAAAATACGATTCCAAGCAAAGATGGTTACCAAATTTATCAAACAATTACTTTGAAATTTTAACAAATTGTCGTATTTTATTTTTTTAGTTTTGAATATTTTAAGAAGTTCTGAGAACTTTTCAATTTTGACCTCCCAACTAGATCAAATTGGCTACTAGAAATGTCCATCAAAGTTAATGACTCAAGCATTATTTCTATTAGAAAAAGTATCTACGGCGTCCGGACGCGAAAAAAAAACAAACCAATCGTTGTACAATCGACTTTTATCGTTCCTCTCAGAATCTGAAACGTACCACCAGAAATCGTAGTTCCCAAAACGTATTAATATTATAATTTCGGTTCAGCTACAGCCAGCAGGTCTAGGGGCTACTGTGGGGCCGGTGGGAGGCCGCCGATTAAATACTTTGGGAGGAATTTCACATGTGAAAAGCCGAAAGTCACCAAAAAGTTTTGTTAAGTTTTTCACTGGACGCGCACACTCACCAATGCATCCCCTCGGGCCGCCGCTGAACGCTATGTAACTGTACTTGTGCCGTTTGGCCACGTTCACCACGCTGAAGTTGTCCGGGTTGAAGGCCTCGGGGTTTGGGTACAGGTGCGGGCAGTGGTGCGTGACAATCGGCGATATCGTGACGCTGGCGCCCCTCGGCAAGACGTAATTTGCTAAAATATTATTAAGTACGCAGGCTGTGTAAATACATGTGTTTGTAATGGTGTCATGTGAAGATGATAGGGTTGGGTAGGATTGGGTTGATGACATAGGCACATAGGAGATGCCGTGGAAGAAGGAAAACTCAAATGAAAAAGACCGCGAACGGAGAGTGTGAAGTGAATAAAATACCGCAGTGACCCCCCCCCCCCGCCGCAACCAATGGATACATAGGACGAAATTTCAGCGGCCGAGTATGTTCGGTATTTAGAGGTCTCGCCAGTCTCCGCACGCCAAATTATAAGCTCCTATACTAAATGTTTTAAGCAAGATTTCCGTTGATGAAAAACAACCCATTACAAGCGATACGGTTGTCCCATACACATTCATTTCTAGGTAAACAATAGTTAACCCGCAATTTAAAATATCAAATTGACTTAATATAATATACACCTATAAGATAGGTCATAAAATATTATTTAATATAAAATAAGTATACCTATCCAAATTTCAAATATTACAAATCCATTATAACAGGCCCCTAAAATAAGTCCATGTACTCCAGATCCAATCGTCCCTCCTGCCTTCTTCACAGGCCTTTTTGCAATACATCGTTTATATCAAGATATACATATCACAAGGATAAGCCGCGTGCGGAAAACTCCACAGCTAATGATATATGAATTGGAAAAGCGAGAAGCAGAGTTTCAAAATATTGTTTTTGTCTTAAAAAGCTACATTTTGAAATTTTAATTTTGTCGTATTTTGTTCTCTGAAACTCTTTAAGTTCTTATCAACTAGTACTGTCCCCATCTCACCTAAAAATCTTAAGAAACATCACTTGCTTTTGTATTAAATTTAGAAATAGTTTTGGCGAGATCGTACGCAAGTATCTAACGAATCTTACGAATACTCCTGAAAATAGTGTTAACCAGATACGCGATAACACGACGTAATATTATTATTATCTTAAACTGATAGGTAAATAACTCCAGCAAAACGTGTAACACATGTGCTGTACTCACTGACTTTGATGTCTTCCATCAGCTGTCTCGTGAATACCGATATAGTTGGATACATCCTTAGGGTTTCCTTGATCACCTGTTCCAAGTACGGAAAGTTAGCAGTGTCTTCGGGAGTCAAATCGCGGTCACTGTCGCCCAACACGTTGTAAATCTCGTCGTACACTTCGTCCTGAGAACAGACGAGCTAGCACTTTTTTCGAATATTCAAAATGGGAAAAATAAGTAACGGACAAATGCCATTGACCAATAATCAGCCAAGAGACAATAGTTTAATTCAAAAAACAACAAAAATTTCGTTTGAAACCTACACCCGAACCCACCTACCTCATCAACCTTGCCCGATCAAAAGTGCTAACATCTCCCATTAGTAACTCCCTGGCATTACCTACAATACACAAACATAAATCAATTAATTTCTAACAGTGTGTTATTATTAATTGATTCTGTTTGTTTGGTAAGTAGAGGCTACTCGGGGATGCACTTTTGAGTTCAGAGCCCATCCCCCTCTAACGAACTCCTATAGGTATGACACTATAAGATGACTACCTCCCCGTTGTCACGACTTTCCGATAGCAAATATTCGTTATTTTATGCCTATAGATTACCGCGTTTAATATTTATACCTGTCCTAACTGCTACTCTTGTTTTTCTAGTGATTCTTTACGTTATGATAGAATCTTCTTCAAATTATAAACAATTCGGCTTAACATATTTTGGTCATGGTACCTGTAAATCATTATTCAAACCCCAAACAAACACTAATTATGAAGAATAGACAAAAGCACCTTTTTATTTTTAGATGTGATGCACTGGTTTTCATTATTTTTGAAAAATGTGTTTACCCGTCTCATTTATCCAAGCGTCACCATTTGGATAAGCGTTTCACTCGTTTCAAAAAATTAATAAAAACCGATCGTAGAAATCGGTAAGTCTCAAAGAAATAATGCAACACATTTATAAGCCAAAAATATACTTTCCCCAATTTTAGTGTTACAATGTTATACAATATAATATTATTGATTTATCACCATTATTGAGTTGCAAAATTAACCCAATAATATTATTTCATGAATTATGGTTACAGGATTATCATCACATTATATTATGTTGTAAACAAGTAAGTTATGCAGCATTACTTTTCATGAACTCTTATGTACTTATTACTTAATAACATTTAACGATATCGGGCACCTATAGGATTTGTTTCTAAGCCATGAAATTAGTTTCAAGACTTGTGCAAAAACAAACATTATAATATTATGGTTTTGATCTTAAGTAAATAAATTATGTTGCCACACTGCCGCCCTAGTTGTGTACCGGGTTACACCACCGGTTGTACCTACCTGAATGTCTTGATGGATGGCCAGCAACAGGAGACAGAAACATTCGGTGGTAGCGTTTGTGTCACTGCCCTTTAAACACACAAAATAATAATATGTTAAACGGTTAATCGTTTTAAATACTGGCATCTTAAAATATATAATCTAAATCAAGGGTTCTTAAACATTTTTTTCGTGTACCACTAGTTTGTATTATGTATCGGTCATGACTAAATATAGAACCATTCAAAATTTCAAAACTTATTTAACTATAATATTTATTGAACTATGTATAGTGATAATAGTTAATTAGATTTAACCACATGTTTAGGATCTATTTACACAAAACTGAAAACACGCCTTGATTAAATTCATCATCACCACTAACCTACTCAACAAGATATAACTCACTTAAACGTATTACATAGTTTTTAAGTAGTCACGTTATAATTTGTACATTGTTACCCATCAGACATAATATGTAATTTAAAACGTTATAAATATCCCTTAACCTGGCCATTTTTACCACAGTTCTAACTAATAAAAATAAAATATCTTTAAAAAAAACTAAAAATATAAAATAATATTAGATCTGTTACAAACATTAGTAAAAACATCAACAGGCGCATTAAAATTGCAGTACACCAGTACAAGGCCAGGGTGTACCACGACCACCTGGTAGTCTTTTTTGTACCCCCAGTGGTACGCGTGTACCACAGTTTATTGTTTTGAGAACCGTTGATATAGATCATAGGTTGTTATTATTATTATCATTATTATTATTACCGCGAACATCATTGTTATGACTTCGTCCCGGACGTCAGCGTTCGTAAAATCGGGATCGTTTTCTCTGGCCTCCAACAGTGTGTCAATAAACGTTTTGAATTTGGTTTCTAAAAAACAAATCGAATAAATCGCATAGAGTTATACCTTACATCCACGGTTAATATTTCCCTCTTATCATTTTGGTTATGTATACTTTTTTCATTCGTGAACTCTGCGGGATTCGACTCAGGCTCGGCTATTTTCAAACGAAAGTCGATTCTCTTTTCGTTGATCAGCTACAACAGACAGTACAGCCAACATAAAGTTTAATGTGCATACATGTCAGTATTTGCGTGTAACGTATTTTACAGGTACCTAAGTACGTTTATATTATCGGATAATACGGAAAAAGTTCCCAAGCCTAATAAAGTGTTTGAATTGTTTCCCGATAAAAATTACTTCATATCTAACTACATAAAATATAAAAAAAAATGTTTGACCTTAAATGTTATAAGTCATGGTAGGTAGCTAATTTATTTGAAGCATTACTAATAATAACAATGAACATTTAAAAAAAAAACTTACTACCTATAATAACTAAATACAATTTTGTTCGAATTGGTTCCTACATAATATTATTATGTACAAATCGGTAATTTTATGATATTTTATAAGGGTTTTAAATGTTTGGGAAATTTAATAAATATTTTACATCTAATAGATTTCTGCAAATGTGAAGTTGATTGGTGATAATATTAAAAAATTGAATGAATGCTAAAATTCAATCTTACTATTCGTCAAAAACGTAGGTGTTCTGTTGTACATTAATATAGGTACCATATTAATTTTTTTCATTGTTATCAATCCGTGACTTATTGTTATGTTACAATATTATTGATATTATTGTTATATTATTATTAGCATTGACGAATACGTACATAGTGTTATTTATGATGTATATATACTGATTGGCAACACTTCAACCACATCTAGGTATTCTAGACTGTCCTAAGTCAATGTAAAATAGAAATCGTTGTTGATAACTGATAAGTCATATATGGTGAAAAAATAATTTGAAAGTTACTTTAACATAGTTGTATGCTACCAATTCGTATGTCACTGTAAGTAATCTTGTAAAGTATTTGAGTATAAATATTCTAATACTTTTTAAGTACTTACTCAAATGAGTGTTTGAAATATTTTTGGAAAAATTCCATGGACAAAGTATTTTTAATATTTTGGAAAAATAATTGGGCCTAATATTTTAAATACATTCTCGAAGTTTTTGTATTTAAAATCAAATACTAATTTACAAATACCTAAATATTCTATTAAGTTTTTCTATTTTAATTTTATTTTGATACACGGGGAAATAAAAAAAAATTTATAATTCATAATAATATTAAATTTTTTTTTACAGTGAATTATACTCAATCGAAAATTCTTATACATCGACAAAAAAATCAGATGAGTGTTATATAATTACATCAAACGATAAGATGTAAAATGCTCTACAAATTTAAAGTAGGACATGAAAATCGGTTCAGGCGTTTAAAATTATAAAGAAACAAAAATGTTTTATAAGAAATTTGAAAATATTTGAGAGAAACTATAAATACTATTTTAAAGTGTTTGTATTTTTTATTCAAGTATTTTTTTTTTCGCTGTGTATTCAAATACTTATTTTAAATACTTTTCAAAAATAAGTATCTGCACTTGAATACTTCTAAAAGATATATTTTACGAGGCTGCTTGTGGAGCACCAGGGAACCAACTCGATAATATTGGAAACCAACTCGTAGTCGTCCATAATAATATTATCGCCGTCAATATTTCCAGATAAATGAGTATAATAGTACTGTTCATATTATTCGTCGTCACTTACTTGCAACGGTAGTTTGTTGATCAATTCCAATTTTTCGCCGAGACCGCTCATGGACTTGTAGATCGAGAAGAACAAGCTCGGGTACAGGTATGGTTTGTTGACGGTCTTCACGAGTTGGTCTGCGATCCTGAAACATTACGGGGCTCGTACAATAATTGGCTCTTCGTTACGGCCGTACATTTATCACACTTACGTTGTCATGAGGTCTAAAAATTCGGTTTTATTATGTTTTTCGTTTATACGGTAATCCATTGCAGTTTCTGTGACAAAAATAAAACGAAGTAAAATCTATTGTGGAGTCGTATACTTTTTTTTTCGTTCTTTGACGACGGCGGCGATAATAATAATAATAATAATAGTTTAAAAAAAAAAAAGATCAGCGTAACAACAACTCTGGGCAGATATATAATATCGCGTAGGCGGGTAGGAAGGGTTTTTACCTTAATAATAATGCCATATATTTTATAGACTATTATTATTATTATTATTATTATTATGATTATTATTAAGGTGTACGGTACTAATAATATGAAAGACTCATTTATTGGACTGTGTGTTTATACTCACGGCATATAGTATCGAATGTAGTCGATATAATATAATCCCAGAGGTCGAACGGTTGTGTTGAGTTTATATTTTTTCGGAGATTTTTTATGAGTATTTTATTTTTCTCATTGAAAACCGGATACAACTGCTCTAAGAACTTTACGTTGAAAGCATACGATATGATGCGACGGTGCTTTCGCCATCTGTCCACTGAAAACGATCGGTGCAATAACAATACATTATAAGCGTTATTATTATGACATTTTTCTGCGCTTCTTGTCACACACAGTCTTATTGTCATTACATTAGTATATTATTATGGCATTTATGAACGATTTGGAGGGAGGAGAAAATACGGGCAAGCTCATGAACGTTTGACAATTAGGTGCACGAAAAATAGTACAAGGCTGGGCAAGCTAACTAATTTTTTTAACTCTCAAAGTTAATTTACTGTACTTATATGAAAATCTGGGTTGAAGTTTAGTGTTTAAACTGTAAAATTACTTTTATTTTTTTTTTTTATTAGTAAAAGTTATAAGTCAAACAGAAAAAAAGGTAACTAAACTTAATTAATAATCGAGTAGATTTTTTTATTATTTTAACTGAATATTTACAATCCATGCCCTGGTATTATAAGCAAATTTGATAAAAATATAAAGCATGGAAAAGTAAGTACATATAAAAATCCAACGAAAATGGGTGTTAAAAATAATGCATAAATGAGAAATTTACAGAAAAAAGCACAGAAATGGAGGTCGTTTAGGGATATAGCACTCTACTGACTAAAGTTACGTTTTCAGGAAATTGAGATGCCAACCTCGAACTGGGTGTAATTTGTGATTGTTGAGGGGATTTTAAATCGATGTGTTTGAGTGAAGTCATATGGTTTTCTATGGGAATGAATTTAAAGTTATATTATTCATAACGTTATTTTCATCTCTTTAATGAAGTCCAGAAATAGTACCTTCAACGGTTCAGTACGAAGAAATTTGTAAATATGTATAGTACAACATTATAAAGAATTAAATATCTATTTCCGATCATTGTTTTTTGTCTTTCCGTGAAATCAATAATGCATATAATATTTTAAGAACGGATTGGATTGAGAAAAAAATTAACTTAGTTCGACTATAAAATTAACTAACCAAAAGGTTACTGTGCATGTCATATAAAAAAATTGAACTCGTCAAGTTGTAGAATTTACCTAAATTTAAGACACGGTAACCGATGATATAACTCTGTTAAAAATAACTTAATTCTTATGAGCTCACGACTTAAACTTTTGAAAACGTTCGCACCAAGCCTTGACAACAGCACCAGACGTAACATTATTATCAAGTATAGAAGGTATATCAGTCGAATACGTGATGGAAGACTAACCACGTGTACCTATACCTATTGGTGAAAATATGTTTGGTAGGTACCGATTTCGACATAATAAATGATTTCAGCGACTTTGTATCGTACAGTTGACACTACGAGTTAAATTTGTTTATTAAATCCACAAACCTCGTCGTAACTTTATGCAGTTCAAAACACGACCGTTATATTATTATTGACACGCCTGATGTCCTCCGCACAAAAAGCTCCGTCTGGACGTACGTGCTTTCCGTATACTTGAACAACAACGCGACTCAAACACGTCGCAATAGGTCGCAGTATGATTTTCGTTTATTATTGTTTCAACGGTGAGGGTCATGACATTATTATCATAGTCGCGAAATGTGCTTAACACTTAATTTTAGGTACCCGTATTGAAATGTGAAAATCAAAACTAATGTAAATACCTGAAGCGGTTAACAAGCCTTCGCCGAGCAAACTTTTCAGGAACGAGTACAGTTGACCTTTTTCCAGTGCTCGGGAATTATTCAATACGATCTGAAATCATTGTCAACACGATTAATGATGTTTATTATTACTATTACATAAGCTACCCATAAGATTGCATATAAATAATTTCAATGTGAATTGTTATTATGTTATTAGTCTGTATTATAACTATTAGGCATAACATTATTGTGACTTTTTTCGTCATCTCCGTCGTATCTGCGAATATAATATTATAGTAACAATAGTATTCTCCTCACGTTTCGAATAACGTTCCATTATCGTGATTTAAGTGTAATGTATGAGCTACAACATTCATCATAATAATTCATGCTGCGAGTACCTACATCATATTATTGTTTTTAGCTTTCATTATTTAAGAAACGACAAATTTACTATTGCAATACATTATAAATATAACGACACAATTTTAATAAATACTTTATAGACTAACTACTTTGGGCCTAACATATATAGTTAATTTAATTATTATTTATCGCATGAAGAATTATACTATAAACACAAAAATCATAAAAATAGAATAATACATATTATTCAACTCAAATTTATATATTATGTTAGTATCACCGTTTTTCTCGGTTTCCATGTATCATTCTACAGTCAAAATATAAGTTAAGTAGGCATTTAAATTACAACTGAGTATTTGACCATATTAATAAATATTGCATTAGTTTAATTAATTTAAAATTTATGTTATAAAAGTGCGGTAATTCTTTTTTCAAGTGTCTAGCTTATAAGAGAACGACTATTTGAAATTGATTTATTGTAAGTAAATGATGTACATATTTTTGTAAGTCAATAAAAAAAAAATATATTATTTATAATAAAAAAAAACCCCGGTATGGGTGGCTAAGACACCAATGCGACCGAACATTAAAATACAAATGTTCAACCCAATACTGGTAACAAACTCACGACACATTCCGCTTGGCAGTCGGCTATACACAATACCACCAGGCGAATCTTAAGAATTATATAACACCGAAACGGTTTAAATGCCTTTTATACTTGGGTTAAGATACCAAAAAAATAAAATTTAAATACAGCACAGCTAGACGAAACCCTTAAAATGGCATGGGTACATCTACCTATATACCGGTCACGGCCACGTTAGGCGACGCAAATATCCATGGCACTGATCAATGTCTTTCAGGCCGAATGAACCACCCGAACCTCACCCCGTCGTTGCTCTCTTAACGTTTCCCATTAAAACGAAGTAATTAACTAACGCACACCTTTTCTATAAATATACGTTTCTTCTCACTCGTCCTCGCAATAAGCTAGTGATTCCAATTCATTATAAGAGAAGACTTTAGAAGATTAATGTCGTCAAACATTATTTTTACAAACACTACCCATATTTTTCCCCATTATTATAATTCAATAATACAAACAAAATTATTATTAAACAATACAATTTTATTATATCTCACCAAATGTTAAAAGTTTTAGTGATCTACTATCCATACTATGAGTTTTCATAGTCATCCTTGTTTACTATTATTGAATAAATTATTTGCGGAACATTTATAAAAAAATAAAATGAAGAACAAAAGTTAAAAATCAAACCAGGAGGAAAAATTGTAAACTATTTTTATTTTATTATAAACGCAATGAATGAGGAAAATGTAATGCATGCAATATGAGTGTAAAAAATGTTGTGAATATTTTAAGTTGTGTAATTTTTAGGGGTTAAACAGTGTCCATTTTTTTTATCGATAATCAATAATATATTTAATTGTGTTGGTCGTAACATAATGTACATAAAAATAAATTATTTAAACATACACAGATAACAAATGTAAACTGAACGTACTTTTTGATTTTTCAGTATAAAATCATAGTTTAAGTAACAGACAATACAATTTTCAATAACACAATTATTTAAAAATGTATATAAATAATAAATATAAATTTTAATTCAGAAAATAATATATTGTAATTTTTAAAAACTTTTTCATAAGATTATTTTCTAATGCATTTTTGTATTTCTGTTATTTGTTTATGTCCATCATTTTATTTGAGTAAATAATTAGCAATTATATATTTTATATGATATTATATGATTTTATTATGTAACTTTAATGTGTTTTTCATTGCAATTATAACATAGTTATTCTACAATTTTGATATAGTTTCATAGCAATTTTGACATATTTTTAACTCAATTAAATTTATAATACTCATTGATATATTATCAATTATTTTGAAAAGAGACTTGAAAGTCGATGTGTGAATTAATTACGCTCGCAACTCGGTAACCGTAAAAATATATAATAATCACAAACCATAAGTATGAAATGGACACTATGTTTTTATCACGATTCGAACATTAAAATATTGATTTTAAATATTTTGAGCAATATTACAGGACCAAAGTAAAAAGTTACTACGTAAGAGTTCTTAAAATCGACTAGTGTTTATTTGCTTCTTATTAATTGTTTACATTTTTATTTTATGCAAAACCTTAATTAATCTGTATGTTATAATATTATACTCGTTATAGCTCGGTATACGATTAATTGCGAATTTTTAATTAGATGTGTATACTTACACTTGTCAACATTAATTTTACTACACAATTATAAAAATATACAATAATAAATATTCATCAGAGTTATAAGGTATACTCTGAGCGGACAATAATCAAATTTAAAAACTTTCCCAATGCTGACACAAATGAACAATACCTAACCAAAGTCGGTATTGTGACATACTACGCATTGTAACTTTGTTTTTCTGCACTATTCGGTAAAATATTTATTTTCGAATTAAAAAAATAATAATAATAATATTTGTATTTAATGAAATTCTTCGCATACAGCGTAGAAACGATAAAAACGATACAACAATAATAATAAAAAAAAAAATTACTTGCATTACCTACTATAAGTTATAGGTAGAGTACAGAAATAATTCGATTTAACATTTTAATGATGACAAGATTAAAAGAATGAAAACAAAAAATTTTGGGATTCGTGGTATTGCAGATAATATCCAGTTGATAATAATATTATTGTATTATAATGTGCGTTGCATTAAAAAAACAACAATTTTTTTCTCGAAATAACTCCATGTAAATATGTAAGAACCTACCTAATATAATACGTATTTATCACTGTGCACTTGAGTACCTACTGAAAAATGAAGAATAAGTTCAATATGGCTCAACACATATTTGTTTTATTATTTGAGGTCCACAGTGTCGGCAATAAAAGAGAATGAAGAATTGAAAAACCAAATTATTTATTTATCATAAATCCAATTTGTTTAGTTCAAAATCTACCAAAAATACATAGCTCTCATTCAGCCGCGTAAACTTTAGGTCCCAACGGGTCGCACTTATACTACTTTAAATAGTGTTTTCTTACAATATAAAAAAATGTACGGTAGAATAGGTACCTAAATAAATCAAAATTTAAAAGCCGAACCAAACAATTTAACTTGTTATTATATTACTAGGTAGGTAACAGTTTTCGAGATTGTCTTGAGAAAAATTAGAGTATGGTTAAAAATTAGAATGGACGATGGTTAAACATGATGAATAATTCTATGGGGAAAGTTAAAATAAGCACTAAGCCATCTAAAACAAGTAGATATCATTTGTGCGTAATCGCGTAATTAAGGTGAATATAATTTTGGATTTTCGTTTGTCATATTTTGAGGTTAATCGGTGATTAACTTAAAGTTTCGCGAAGGGATATAGCAGTGATTAAAACAGCGGAGTTGTATATTTCTACAACAACGTCGAACTAGTACGATTTTGAAATCAAAAAATAAATTTTAGAACATGGATACAAAAGGCAAAAATATTTATTTTCCGCTTGTAATCGTTCCATAATATTTTGTAATTAATCATAATATTTTAAGTCCGCGTCCTTGATTTAGGTGCATTTATGTAGTAGGTATTTAATTATACTTGAATGTAAAAAAAATATTTTAAAATTGTATTTATTGGCACACACTTTACGATATCATATTGCGGAATATCGTGGCGGATTTTTTTAAAAACAAAATCACAAAACCCATTCGACTACAGCATTCGGCCGAAAGGCGATGTTCTAATAATAATATTTATTTTAAACACATATAGCTGAAAAGACGTTTTCAACGGTTTTTATCGGAAAATAAATTAATGGTCGTACGACATACTTGTATATCCTCCGGTTTGACAACGCTTACGTAATGGATAGGTCCTATCCACGTTCCTACTGGCTCGTAATTGTACTTTTCGGCGTTCTCTTTGAGTTTTGCTATCGTCTCTAAAGAAAACATTCAAAAATAGTATTAACCGTATGTCAAACACCGCGTGTCCGTGCGATGTGAATTTTCCTTCTGCTCGAAATATCGTCAATAATCATACGAAATCCAACAGTGATTGATGACGACGGTTATTTTTCGATTAATATTATTGTTAGTATCGTATTTTAGTGGTCCTAACCGTCGTAAGTGGAAGTGTACATGGAAGTGGTCCCGATTAGTGGATAACACGGAGGTCCTGGAAGTTTTTCCGCTAAATCCAAAAAATATCGATGCTTCCATCTCCAGTGAAACCACAAAGCCAATATCAACGCGACCGACGCATAGATGATCAGCTCGGGTAGAGATAGTTTGCCGTACATCTAGAATGTAAAAACATCGTTTCATTTCACAATGAAATTGTGTAAAGATTGAATAATGTAATCGGACATTAAGCAACAATTAGCAAATAATCGTCTGATGTTGATATTTGACAAGGTCGGAAATTGATTGATTAATCGATATCGTTTTAAAATCGGTCACTTGATTATCTTGCTATAGCTACAGCATGAATTGGAAAATATTCATTTTCGTTAAAATAATTTAATTTCTACACAATTTATAACGCTAATTGTTTGTTTTTTGAAACGCCCTGGAATTAATTTTAAATATAATCATCTTATAACTGTTTCCTGGTTCCCCTGAAATCGTTTCCATCTCGAGTCTGTCGATATTTAACCAAGCAAGTACATTTTTTGAAACGTTTGTAGTAAAAGTTTCGAACGGCTATGGACGCGTTTTAATCAGGAACGTGCGCATTGAAAGCCGTTATTATTACAACAAATTATTACTTTTAAGATAAACATAATGAAATCTAATTTTCCGAAATACGCCTAATACCATGCTATAATATCTATTGTTTAAAATTTTGAAATTTTTTTTCGTCTTCTACGTCGACGTTTGAATTAAATTCGTAAAATATCCCAAAATTAATTGATTCCTATTAACTCAAAGTTACATTCGTATTTATTAGGTAACTAAAAAAACGAAAACAACATAAAAACAAGTTCTAATCTCACCATATTTACAATAAAATATATCAATTATATTACAGCGCATAAACAACGAGGGCCGCATGTGTAATATTATAATATATTAATATGTATTTATGTAATAATATCTATAAACGAGGTAAATGTGTTTACATTTTTAAAACCATTACGCATTTAATACCTATGTAAAAATAAAAACAACACACCTTCGATATTAAAACGACATATTATTGTGTTATTCGGTATATTATCAGCAATTCACTTGTTTTTGATAAACAAAGATAAGAGTTATTAGGCAGTTTAAGTTCATCGGTATAAGTCGTAATACTAGTATAATATAATATTTCATTACTTACAGTGTGCTTTCGTGTCAACCTATCACTATTAAAAATACTGAAAGACTATAGTGCAAATTACATTCTTTCAGAACATTTCTATAGCCTCAGCAAATATAAAAGTGCCAAGGATGACAATGACAAAAGCATACATCAAATTTTATGCGAAGAGATATATTTTTCGCCTGCAAAACACAATTATTTATGACACGAAATGTAATTTCTTTTATATGTTTATTTATACATTAGGAACGCTTCCGACGGTATAAAGTATTAAACCGTTGTTACAATAGTAATCAAATTATTTGTCAATTACAACCATATTACAGTGTAATGCACGCTCACATATTTTAATAGTTATAACAACCTTGAAAAATCGCTATTAACTTACCCACAATCCCCATCATATTGCGTTCTGAACAAAACTACCGTCTTATGTCTGCATGCAGTCAGTTATCGGACGGGTGTAAAAATAATATTTTAATCTCCCAATCATTATGCGATTGTCGTACATACCGGGTACACGTGTGGTGCGAGCATACGGCATTCGTAGAGTGAAATAAAATATACTCTCAGAAATGCGTGTATGTTGCAAGGGCCTGAAATCGAAATAGCTGATTTTTTCAGTTTTAATTTAAATTTTGCTTTTTGATATTAGTTTTTCTGGTTTCACTTTAAAAACAATTTATTGGCATTGCAGTTTTACGATATTTATATTATTTCACGACGATACGATTTAATATAATATTGTGCTCTGATTTTTCTCTTTCTTCGATTTTAGTTACAATTTTAAATATTAATTTTAAATTTTAATACCACTTTTACATTTTTACGATTTTATAATATTGCTATGTTACACTTTTCAGTTTTGATTGGCAAAGTTTGGTCTGTAGGTACCATATTGATTTTATTTTTCAACAAACAACTTTTATTATCTTGCAATGAACAATACCGTGGACTATTGTTGAATTTTAATTTTAATTCGATTTTTTTAAACAGTTTTGTACATAATGAAAAATTGTAAAACGGTTATTATTTTGATAAAATTTATCGATTTGAATATTGTTTTTCAATTTAAATATAGCTATATTGAATATTATTCAGAAACAATTTGATTTTCTTAGTACTTTAAAGTTTTAAAAGATTTTTAACGATTTTTATCGATATTTGAATACTAATTTAAAGCCATACTTGCTACTTGTAAGATACACTCTTGATGAACCAGATGTAATGTAAGTTGTAACAAAATAAAAAAACTAGAACATTTACGTCAGATCGTTTTTCATTAAAATATATTTTAATAATATTATATAGTTTAATTGAGTAATAATTCTCTGGAAAAATTAGTTATTAAATAATTTGATAATGTTATTTATTTTATTATGGAAATATGCACTACAAACCAATTGCTCGGCATTTTAATATAATATAATACGATTATGATAAAACAGAAATGTCTTTTCGACAATTCTTGCTGATAATATTATTATTTGTTATTCCATAAGAGGTATGATTTTAAAAATGTTATGTTTAAAAAAAATGTATGGGCTTTTGAATATGGTACTGCAAACATATACCTAATGTGGTCCAATCAATGAGAAATCGTTCCTCAAAAATACTATGACATAAAATCAAAATAGTTATACAATTTATGCACCTGAAATAATAATAATAGGCACTTACATTGTATAGTATACAGAGTGATTATTTTAAAAATAAATACACTAATTATATGTCTCGACAAATCTTAAGGTTTTTGGAAAAACGGTTTTAAAATAACATGGTCGTCACAGAGCAACATCTAATTTTTTAATTTTTTATCATTATAATTATTTGAAGTTGTACATATTTGTTACAGATCTCACATTGTCATATTCCGAATATAAAAATAAATAAATGATATTCTGTACACCTAAAAAAATTAATTACAAATGAATAATTAAAATAATGTACCTAATATTTGAATATCGCTATTATATTCATGAAAACAAGTTATGTGAATATATATATATAATATATATATATATACATATTATATTGCAAAAACATTTATACTTTTATGGAAAATGAGTATTTACCAATAAAAAAATCCTATTTTTGTTGTATCGATATATTTTATTCACAAAAACAATACACGTCAAACACAAAATTAAAATCAAAGCCGTTTGCAATATATAAACAACTGTCCACTTTCTATGTTACACGCCGTCAGCTGCTAAATAAAACATAATATTATTATTACCTATGTTGGACGAATGAGGTATATTATAAAGCATTTTTGTTTAATAATAATAATTATTCAATGTTTCGCCATCGACATTTGTATTTATAAACCTCACGCCGAGTTCAGCCGCCTGCCAATATATTATTTTTAGCATAATAAGTGATTAATAAATAAACCATATTTTATGCATTGCAATCAAATATTACAAACGTATAAGTTAAAATGGTACAATATTTGTTTTCGAAAACAGTTTTCGCTTATTATTACGATGACTTTAAATGGTGTTAAAAAAAATTATATTCCAAAACCTTTTATTACTTTTCGGAGGAAATTAGCGTTTAACTTTAAAAGAATCATGTAGGTATAATTGCATTGTAATATATTTTATGCACAAACACTACACATAGAATTCACGAAGAAAATCAAAGCCGTTAGCAATATCTACATTGACAATAGTCCACTTTTTGCAGTGCAAATAGGTACCATCCGCGGCAGTATTACACAACACGACAATACTACATAATATCATTATTATATTTTTCATTATTACGTAGGACGAAGGTGTATTCACGGATTTTTTTGTTTAATAATAATTTCTCATTGTCTCGCCACCGACGTTTTTTCCCAGACCTCTCGCCGAGTAGACACGGCCAATATGACGTAAGTAGGTGCCTATCCCTAACCACGTTTAAAAGCCGTCCACATGAGTATGTAGGGTTTAGGGGACCCTTATTGTCATGTCGGTGTTCACTGCAGCGCACGGTCCAGGAAACAATGGCATTTTCACCACGCGTGAAACTCAACAAAACGATACAAAAATATGATAATATTATATAATAATAATAAACGATATCGCACATACGCCGTCGGTGTATACACTTTCCACTTGACACAGACACGTACAAAAGGAGTTTTCTAGAAATTTTTCATTAATGTCGGGAAACGCGTCTCATAACATAATATACCTCGCTGTAAAAATACGGCGGTAAACATTGTCGTCGCAAAATATTGTTTGACTGTCGTGGTTTGCTCGACTCCGACTCGGTCCTTCTGACACTGTTCAGACGAATCTTCGCAAAAACAACGATTGTTTATAACGTCTACCAATGGCGAATATAACTGCAACGGTAGTGATGATTATATTGGGTTAAGATTCGGCAGTTTATTCACATGAATCAACTACATTTCCGACGGATAATATTCTTCTCCGTACACGGTTCTGAAACGTTCAAAATTAAAAAAAAAAAAACAGAGATAAAAACAGCGATTGCCAAAATGCCAATTGATATTTTTAGAACAATATAATTTTTTTAAATAATAAAATTTTAAAAATCATTGACATGATGGATATTTTTTGTTTCAAAAACGGACTACAGGTAGGTATATTATGACAGTATGAGTATATGACATCGAACTAAAAATACTTAAAAACACATTTAAATAAAAACTCTTACAATTTTACCAAGGTAATGGATGTTTCGTGTCAAAAAAATCACCATATTTCTCTGAACCCACATATAACACATAACTATTATACTGCAGCAGTAACTCAATTATATTATGTACTCTCCATAAACCTTTTACATTATAACTACACGATGAAATATATAATATAATATTATATTCATGCTACCTGCTGATCATAAAAATTATACAAAAAAAATCTTACAAAACTTTTAAAATACAATTCACGTTTAAAAGGAATCATGATATTAAAATAGTTGAGTACCCGTATGTGTATATGAGTAAGTATGAAAATACTAAAATATTATTTATTTTTATTAATTTGTTGGAACAAGCGTCCTACTATATTCTACTATACTCAAGAGGATGTCATCACAATATTATTAGTTTTTTTTCTCAGATCCACTGGCAAAATATAGGTTAGATATAACCCATTTGGGTAAAATCGTTTTTTATGATGTTCGAGTAATCTTAAAGAACATTTTAAGTCGTATTTTAGTCTATTATTATATGACAAAAATTATTGAAGAACAGAGGGTACTATATTTGAGGGGTGACATATATTGGTTTTATATTTTATTGTTCTTTGACTTTATATTCGGTTTTAAAAATAAAAAAAATACATTTACATTATAATACATAATGACTATTTTATTTTCTGTAATCAATAGCAACATTTATATAAATTAAAAAATGATAGTTTTTCATGAACCAACTGTATACATTCAAAACGTATGTGATAAAAAGTAAAAGTGAATAATAAAAAGTAGCCAATGACACCGATGACACTCTTGCCAAATCTATTGACGATAGCAATTAAAGTCAGTAGATTTCTGTGAATTTGAGGTGGATTTTCGTATTAAAAGCCATCAGTTTTAAATACGTAGTAAATAAGATTATATTAATAGTTTTGGTTTAACCTGCTAGACGTTGCAGTCTAGCGTCAGTTTATGACCTATATTTTCAAATTCTTGAGATTTTTTTTAAATACTTAGGGAGGTGTTTATTATACTTGGTCCAATTTTACAAACTATAAATGTTGATGGATATCAGTAACTAAAATTTTCAAAACACCATAATTTAGCCGCTATTTCTTCCAAACTCATTATAATAAAACTATTATCCATAGAACACAAAGTTCAATAACTCAAAAACTATAATAGTTTGAATTTTGATTTCGATACGATAACATTTTCAGAAAAAATATTCACTCAATCATTTAAAGCAGAAACGTGGAAAACCAGATGTTTGTCTGTTCACATGACACTTCTTAAGTATAGTACGGAACATTTTAAAAAAGCTTTTAGAATAAATTTAAAAATTCCAAAATCCAGATTTTGAATAACTGCAAAGAAAAAAAAGGAAAAAGACCATGCTTGGTAAATCATACAGTATGTAATAATATAGAAATTTATATTAATATGAAAGCAATGTCTGTGTGGGTATGTGTGGATGTGTACACTACAGTACTATGTTTGAACGGCAAACGTTTGCCCAACAT